AGCAATTCCTAAATTAGTTACAATTGTGTTCAATTTCAAATTACCATTGAAGTTCTGACACTTGGTCCTATTTTAAACAAGTATATTTACTTTAGTTTTTTGTTTTTAAATCACATTTTTTTTTACACATTCACTACATTTACATATTTTTTTCTGTGTGATTAAGGGATTTAATAAAGTTTGGGTTTTTTAATCAAGGCACTTAGCCTAATACCTGTTCAGTTAATTCAAACAAAGGGTAATTGGTCTTGTTTTTTTGCAAGCCTACTCTAATCTTTCTCTGCATCTTTATTTTGGTTCAGTTATGCCATAATTATCCTACAACCAATACATACTTGGTGTCAGATTTTTCTCTCGCTAAGTCTGTCTATACAAGTGTATATAATACCTTAAATAATCATTTGTGATGAATTTGATTTCTCGATTCCCATTATCTGTTTTTAAATGAGCAGTTTGTTTACTTGTTACTGTGACAAGCAGTTTGAAACAATTGATCCCATGACTGTTCGTAGTCATGTGATCTTTGTAATTATACGTGGTGCGTATTTTGAAAAGGTTATATATTTAACAATCCAGTCAACTTAAAATTTTAAAGTTTGTTATTTTTTCATCGTAGTAGTTCATTCCTCATACTTTTGCAAAGCTTCCAACAGTCAGAATTCAGTCCAGACTGGACCTACACTGGGATGTACATCTATATTTTCTGGCTATCCAGTTGGCTGTTTTGATTTCTTACATTTCTGCTATGCACATTGGCATAACCCCATTTACAGTTATGTAAAAGATCTTCTATGCTCTCCTGATGCAGAATGGGTGCTACCATTAGGAAGATGATAACTCGAAAGATTTAAATACAAATGAAAAGAGTAAGCGGTTAAGAGATGATGTTTACTCAAAGTGACCAATTAGCAGAGGAGTCCATTTTTTGGACCACTCCCGGCTGACAACCTAAGCCATCAGGACCAAAAATATGTCAATAACACATTCAATGTACTACCAGCGGCATCTGATTGACAGGATGCCAATCTATACACTGTAATAATAACAAATTCTATCTTAGACTGGTTTTAACTGGCTCTGATGAACCCTTTATCTGAAAATATTTTGGGATGGTAGAGTTTTAATTTACAACAGTTTTTTTTTTTTAACGCATGGAACCTCATTTTACAACTGGCAGTACTCAATCCTGCGTTTCCATTCAGTTGTTCTAACTTCTGACTACTCTAGAGGACAATAGTATTTATTTGCCATATTGTTCAACATACCCTAAGCCATCTTTTCTATTACGTTGTAACAGTGTGTCTTTTTACACTTTTATTTAACTAGCGTTATAAGCCTTCTTATCCTCTTCTTTTTATTTGTACTGCAATTGCATGTCATTGTCAAATATAAACTACTAATCCCCACGAGTGGAGTCTGAAATACAAGAGGGCCCATTCTATTATTGACAAACGTGTTGCTATATGGCAGTAATAATACTTTAAAGAATTTATTAGGCCTGAGGTAGTGGGGAGTCCGTGAGTGTGCACCGGCTACTGCCTCATTTTTGGCTTGCTTTTTTCAGATACACATGGATTCCATTTTTGGAGCGTAGAACAAGCTGGGGCACTATCAGAGGCGGGTTAGATAGATCTGGTAAAAGCTCGAAACGGTTCAAGGTTAATGCCACAGACACTTTCATTTCATTCATAGCGAAGTTCTGTCCAATGCAGTTCCTGAGATAACAGATAGGGAAGAATATGTCAATTTTTATTATTTTCTTTGGACCTTTACACACAAGAAAGAAAACCAACACTGGATAATTACCTACAAAGATTACTATGCATTGTTGTCTAAAAATATTTGCACACATTTTACTTTTTTATATCTTCAAAATAAAACTGTCACCTAACTTTCACAGTTCACTCAACTTGTGTGAGATGCCTGACGTGTCCGTTTAATAATATAGACCCACCCAGTATAACTAACTGTAACCTAACCTACACAGTGCACCTAACTTGTATGGGAGCCTGGAGTATCCCTTTAATAATATAAACCCACCCAGTATAACTGTAACCTAACCTACACAGTGCACCTAACGTGTGTGGGAGCCTGGAGTGTCCCTTTATTAATATAAACCCACCCAGTATAACTAACTGTAACCTAACCTACACAGTGCATCTAACGTGTGTGGGAGCCTGGAGTGTCCCTTTAATAATATAAACCCACCCAGTATAACTAACTGTAACCTAACCTACACAGTGCACCTAACGTGTGTGGGAGCCTGGAGTGTCCTTTAATAATATAAACCCACCCAGTATAACTAACTGTAACCTAACCTACACAGTGCATCTAACGTGTGTGGGAGCCTGGAGTGTCCCTTTAATAATATAAACCCACCCAGTATAACTAACTGTAACCTAACCTACACAGTGCATCTAATGTTTGTGGGAGCCTGGAGTGTCCCTTTAATAATATAAACCCACCCAGTATAACTAACTGTAATCTAACCTACACAGTGCACCTAATGTGTGTGGGAGCCTGGAGTGTCCCTTTAATAATATAAACCCACCAGCATAACTAACTGTAACCTAACCCACACAGTGCATCTAACGTGTGTGGGAGCCTGGAGTGTCCCTTTAATAATATAAACCCACCAAGTATAACTAACTGTAACCTAACCTACACAGTGCATCTAACGTGTGTGGGAGCCTGGAGTGTCCCTTTAATAATATAAACCCACCCGGTATAACTAACTGTAACCTAACCTACACAGTGCATCTAGCGTGTGTGGGAGCCTGGAGTGTCTCTTTAATAATATAAACCCACCCAGTATAACTAACTGTAACCTAACCTACACAGTGCATCTAACGTGTGTGGGAGCCTGGAGTATCCCTTTAATAATATAAACCCACCCAGTATAACTAACTGTAACCTAACCTACACAGTGCACCTAACGTGTGTGGGAGCCTGGAGTGTCCCTTTAATAATATAAACCCACCCAGTATAACTAACTGTAACCTAACCTGCACAGTGCATCTAACGTGTGTGGGAGCCTGGAGTGTCCCTTTAATAATATAAACCCACCCAGTATAACTAACTGTAACCTAACCTACACATTGATCCAACTTATGTGATAGCCTGGAGTGTTCCTTTAACTTTATGATTGGTAGTTCCACAGTTTAATGAGACAGCGCATACATTAGAATGTATACAATCTCAATGTATCTTCGTCTCCAATTTGCAAAGATTTTACATAAGTGTTATCTAGAAAATCCTCTGGAAGAATATTCCAACAAGATATTAGTGAAAACAAAAAATATACCTTGATCCTGCTGCAAAGGGGATATAAGCATGTGAGTGTTTATTAGAATTTTCAGGAGAAAACCGTAGAGGATCAAATACCTGGAACAAATAAAGAAAATATTAATACTGGGAAAATGTATTAATAATTCAACTCAACTTCACAAAAACAGCTTGGATATCATGACAAACAGGTACCTCTGGGTCCTTCCACACACTGGTGTTCCGGTGGATGCAATACATATTTAAAGTAACTACAGCGCCTGAAACACACAAATTAGTTTTATTAAAGTTAAACATGACAGGTGTCTGGTCAATCTGGTCAGTGGTCCTTTTTATATCAAAACTCATGTTTTGTGTAAAAAAAAAAAATTAAAAAGCGGGGTTACGGTCTCACCTGAAGAGGGGATGAACTGACAATCCAGCCCCCAGCCTTCGGGATCATTCAGGGAACACTGCTGAAGTGCTCCATGCATGGTTCTAGTGTCCGTTGCACAGCACAAGTGTGTCCAATGATTCGCTTGTGCTGCCCAGGAACAGTTTCCCATATGTTTCACTTAAACATACTCACTGACAGAAAGACATGCACTCTCACATTCACTGACAGACACACACATCCACCAACAGACACACTAACTGACACAAGCATTGACTGACAGATACACATACACACTCACTGAGAAATCACATACACACTCACTGACAGAAGCACACTCACTCAGTGTCAGACACACACTGTGACACACACATACTCACTGACAGACATACACATTCACTAACAGACATACACACTCTTTGAAACACACGCTCACTAACAGACACACACTCTCACTAACAGACACAGACACACACACACACTAACACACTCACTAACAGACACACAATCTCACTAACAGACACAGACACACTAGCACACTCACCAACAGACAACCACACTCTCACTAACAGACACACACTCTCACTTACAGACACACACACTCACTAACAGACACACACACACACACACACTCTCACTAACAGACACACACTGACAATCACTAACAGACACACTCTTACTAACAGAGAAACACACACTCTCACTGTCAGACACACACTAACACCTACTAACAGACACACACATACTAACTCTCTCACTAAAAGTTTTTTTTTTATTTGCTTAAATTTTTTAGGTGTTTTGGTGAATTTGTCGCAATGCATGTGGTGGGCGGTCGGAAGTGCAGGCACGCAGTTCAGGCGGACAGTGAGGGAGCTCTGATCTTCCTGCTCAGTTCCCTTGCGTGCCTCTTAGTGATGCCAATGCCGGAGTGACATCATATTCCGGCTCTGGCATCACAGCGGTGCGCGTGAGGTTGCTGAGCGGGGTAGTGCTCAGGGGAGAGTGCTCCCTCGCATGTTCCCCAGGACAAGAGGCTGACATGGCATTTCCCGGGCCATTTGGGGGGTAGCTTTTCTTGTCGCCCCCCTGAAAGTGCCGCCCAAGGCAAATGCCCTGTCAGCTTCAAGGTAAATACACTGCTGACGGGAAAGATACATAGAAACATAGAAAAATAGAATGTGACAGCAGATAAGAACCATTCGGCCCATCTAGTCTGCCCAATTTTCTAAATACTTTCATTAGTCCCTGGCCTGATCTTATAGTTAGGATAGCCTTATGCCTATCCCACGCATGCTTAAACTCCTTTACTGTGTTAACCTCTACCACTTCAGCTGGAAGGCTATTCCATGCATCCACTACCCTCTCAGTAAAGTAATACTTCCTGATATAGGAGTGAATAGTATCTCTAATAGACCTACTAGCATTACAGCAACACAATGATTTTAATACATTATAAATACCCTATTTTAGAAATATTTGCTCAAATACAGATATTCTTTTTACATTCTGTTGCAATTTTTAGTAAATTTTACTACTAGCAATGCGCATTGGATATTTTTTTATATCTATATTTGTCATTGTTACTGTACATGAGAAAAATTTACTCTGTGTGACATACTTTTATGTTTGACAAAACAGGAATCTATAGAAAAACGGTTTTATCATATATGTGGATAAAGTAACTCTGCACCACATGTTTCAAATAAATGTTATGGTAATATTTTTTCACACAAAACTTGTTTGATATTGAAGTGGTTAACAAACTATTCTTTCTTAGCTCCCCCAGCAGTTTCAAGTGTCAGTATCTTTGCTTATTTACACTCTTCCTTACCTTTATACACATTTAGACTGACCTGATCTTTACCCCACAGTGCAATTTATCTAATACAGGTAACTGATTGACGACTCACATTGTGCAAGTGATTCTTTGCATGGAATCTAGGAATTGGAAGCAGATACGAATTCAGTCTGCTATTAGAGCTCCACAGAATTAATACTCCCAGTAATGTGTCTGAGTGTATAACAGAGTTCTACAGCAATAATACTCCCAGTAATGTGTCTGAGTGTATAACAGAGCTCCACAGCAATAATACCCCAGTAATGTGTCTGAGTGTATAACAGAGCTCCACAGCAATAATACTCCCAGTAATGTGTCTGAGTGTATAACAGAGCTCCACAGCAATAATACTCCCAGTAATGTGTCTGAGTGTATAACAGAGCTCCACAGCGATAATACTCCCAGTAATGTGTCCGAGTGTATAACAGAGCTCCACAGCAATAATACTCCCAGTAATGTGTCTGAGTGTATAACAGAGCTCCACAGCAATAATACTCCCAGTAATGTGTCTGTGTGTATAACAGAGCTCCACAGCAATAATACTCCCAGTAATGTGTCTGAGTGTAACAGAGCCCCACAGCAATAATACTCCCAGTAATGTGTCTGAGTGTATAACAGAGCTCCACAGCAATAATACTCCCAGTAATGTGTATGTGTGTATAACAGAGCTCCACAGCAATAATACTCCCAGTAATGTGTCTGAGTGTATAACAGAGCTCCACAGCAATAATACTCCCAGTAATGTGTCTGAGTGTATAACAGAGCCCCACAGTAATAATACTCCCAGTAATGTGTCTGAGTGTATAACAGAGCTCCACAGCATTAATACTCCCAGTAATGTGTCTGAGTGTATAACAGAGCTCCACAGCAATAATGCTCCCTGTAATGTTTCTGAGTGTATAACAGAGCTCCACAGCAATAATACTCCCAGTAACGTGTCTGACTGTATAACAGAGCTCCACAGCAATAATACTCCCAGTAATGTGTCTGAGTGTATAACAGAGCTCCACAGCAATAATAGTCCCAGTAATGTGTCTGAGTGTATAACAGAGCTCCACAACAATAATGCTCCCAGTAATGTGTCTGAGAGTATAACAGAGCTCCACAACAATAATGCTCCCAGTAATGTGTCTGAGTGTATAACAGAGCTCCACAGCAATAATACTCCCAGTAATGTGTCTGAGTGTATAACAGAGCTCCACAGCAATAATACTCCCAGTAATGTGTCTGAGTGTATAACAGAGCTCCACAGCAATAATACTCCCAGTAATGTCTGAGTGTATAACAGAGCTCCACAGCAATAATACTCCCAGTAATGTGTCTGAGTGTATAACAGAGCTCCACAGCAATAATACTCCCAGTAATGTGTCTGAGTGTATAACAGAGCTCCACAGCAATAATACTCCCAGTAATGTGTCGGAGTGTATAACAGAGCTCCACAGCAATAATACTCCCAGTAATGTGTCTGAGTGTATAACAGAGCTCCACAGCAATAATACTGCCAGTAATGTGTCTGAGTGTATAACAGAGCTCCACAGCAATAATACTCCCAGTAATGTGTCTGAGTGTATAACAGAGCTCCACAGCAATAATACTCCCAGTAATGTGTCTGAGTGTATAACAGAGCTCCACAACAATAATGCTCCCAGTAATGTGTCTGAGAGTATAACAGAGCTCCACAACAATAATGCTCCCAGTAATGTGTCTGAGTGTATAACAGAGCTCCACAGCAATAATACTCCCAGTAATGTGTCTGAGTGTATAACAGAGCTCCACAGCAATAATACTCCCAGTAATGTGTCTGAGTGTATAACAGAGCTCCACAGCAATAATACTGCCAGTAATGTGTCTGACTGTATAACAGAGCTCCACAGCAATAATACTCCCAGTAATGTGTCTTTAAACTACAATAAATGTGTTTAGAAATCAGTCTGTGTAAATAAGATACATTGTTTTCCTTCTAAATTACATTTTAGTTGCATAAATTGTTATTAGTAAGTCACCTAAATTTTCTCAGAACAGCCCCGCTCCAAGCCGCCGCTCCACTCACGCACACCCCTATAGTTATATGTCCCCCCTTTGTCCATATGAAATGTTGGGAAGTATGTGTTTACACAGTAACTTCCTGTGCTCAAGTCTTAAAACACCAATCATTTACACCCACCTGCGGGTAAGGACCGCCCATCGTAGAATGTGATTGGTTTGTCAAGCTCTCTGGATATGACAGGAACAGGAGGATATAAACGGAGGCTCTCCTTGATGCACATGGTGGTATAAGACATTTTGCTCAGGTCGTCCCTGGGAATTGGAAATCAATGAACATATCATTCTTAATTAGAAAGGGTTTTTTTTGTGCCATAAAATATGAAGCACATTCATTTGTTTATTTACTCAGTCAGGAGCTAACATGAGAATTATTCATGTTAGGCCAAAATAATCAAGCTGAACCGAACAGTTTGTTTGCTTTATCATTTACCAAACTTGTAATCTAGATAATTCCTTACAATTAATGGTGCCATGAAAAAAAAGTCACCCTGTACAGCCAGGTTCCATTTTAAAGGATTTTATTTGGTAAACTAATAAAATATGAGTGAATATAAAGACTAAAAAGAAAAACAAGTAAGAGAAAAACACAGGTAGATTAAACCATGGTAAATGGTGAGTGCCAGCAGGGGAAATCTATATATTTATTTCTATTTCTGGTGGAGTGCATAGGTGGTCTAAGAAAGTAGAGTGCGTATCCTTAAACGTACCATTCCATTGTATCTCTCTTCCCTAAGATCTCTCTGATCTCTTCCCTGCACTTCTGTTGGTGCTCTGGGTATTTAGCCATACAGTATAAGATCCAGGAGATCCCACTAGCTGTGGTATCATGTCCCTCAAACATGAAGGTGTCCACCTCGGCTCGCAAGTCCTCATCTGACAAACCCTGGCCTTTTTCATCCTGGAATACACAAATAAAGATGTTTGGAAGAAATTGCAATTAAAATATGCATATTTGGCTAACTTAGCAATATGAATAAAGAGATGTTCCTGCATATACTGGAAATATATATCTCTATTTACCTTATTCTGTATCATTTATGGAGGTGAATAATTTATTTTCCTCTACAGAGCGTACAACTCTGTTCGCAATCAGCAGAAAAGAAGCCATAAATAAATGGATATTCAGTAAGTGATAGCACTTCAATTTCTCATATCCAGACTCAAATTGAGGCTCCTTCTCAATGCCAAGCAGAAATGTAGTCTTTATAATCTAATGTTGATGGGTCTAATCTGCTATACTGTCCATTGTTAACCTTATCTCAATGCTACTGTTGTGTCACTGTGTAGAGCCCAGAACATTTTGGCCAAAATAGTCAAGCTGAATGCGTAGTTCAGTTGAAAAACTTTGAATTTGAAATTTAGGGAATACAACTACTAACAAGAAACACTAAAAACTTCAATTCAATATATTCCTACTGTTGGAATTCAGCCCAAATAAACACATCACTTTTTTTTTTTTTTAATGGGAAGAGGTAAATATATTTTTCTAAAATCTTATGCATTTCCATACACTTAATAATCATGTACAATAATAAACTTTATGAATCACAGTAACCAGTAAATATTTTTAGACATCATCAATATATCTGAAAAACGGGATGTCATCTTTTGAATTATTTCCACCACTGAGATACTCCACCCATTTGTTGGAGGTGATTATGGTCGCACAGATAGAGGATTAGAAATATAGCTTCATTCAGATATCTAAGGTATTGTGGTTTTTTGTCTTATTATTATTATTATTATAATTATTTATAAAACGTTAACAAATTCAGCAGGGCTGTCCAATGGGTATTAATCCCTTGTCATACATTACATCAACTATGTCTAAATCTCATCGATTTAAAGATTTTGGCCAATTTTTTTTAAAAAATTCTTTATTGTGGTTGTGCATGAGAAGTAACATCATATTGGCAGTCTTGACAGCATAACAAGAGGAGAGAACAATTTTCAGTATTCAAGACAGGTAATCTGCACATATTTAATTTTTTTTACAATTCAAGCTGAATTGAAAGAGGTATGCAAAGACAGGCTTATAGTTATGTATAACAGTCTATGATATACGAGACAATTTGATTATGACAATTTTAATTACACTTTTTCAAAATAGTTTTAGTAATATTGACCCTAGTAGTTTTTTTTATCCCTACTGATCACTGAAAACACAGGAACATCTTTATAAAAAGAAAACTTTTACTTAAAGGGTTACTCCAAGCTGCAAAACAACTGCACCCCTCTGCAATAGTTATGCTGTGAGGAGTACTCTGTTGCCATTCCCCAGTAATGAGACAAACTCATTTGAATCAATTTGCCCACTTACCCGAGTCTCGCTGGGCACCAAAGAATCTCTAATTGTCAGTGACATATATCGGACTTCTGCAGAGCTGATGAATGTGTTGGTCATTCATTGGTTAAGCAGGTCAGCAGTGCTTTTTCAGCCAAGGAATGACACTCTGTGCATAGAACTATAGAAATACTTGACGTAAGCCAGCCCGGAATTCTTGTTCTGGGCTAGCTAATGACATCCCAATGACACTGCTGGTGGTGGCGTTACACTCTGTGCAACGTTTCATAACAAAATCCACACACAGACACCAGATAACATGAACATTTCAAAACATTAAAGTTGTTATGGTGCTCGGAGGAACCCTTTAACGGTGATATATTGTTGCTATTACCTTAGCACAGAGCAGGATGTCCAGGAAATCGGGGTGTCTCTTCTGCTTCACTTTATCCATTTCTTCTCTGTTTTCCAAGAGTTTTTTTCTCTGTGCAATTACATTATCTGTCTCGCAATGATACGTATGATAAATTTTAAAACCAATATTTAAAAAACAAAAACAAACTGATATTTAATGTATACAGAATGTACTTTGTTAAACAGGTTGTATCTCTTTTCATGCAAACTATCAAGACAGAAATTAAATGAATGTGTCAAGCATGTTAAATTCTGGTTTTGCAGGCAGTAGTATGACAGTCTAGATCTCATGGCTGGTATCTCTGAGCTTGAATCCTTGTAATTTGGTGTTCCTGGGTATTATTAGGATTAATGATAACCTGGTCAATAGGAAGGCTCGAATTGCCTGGATGCTTTCAGAGGCAGTCTGAGCATTACGGAACAGGATACTCTGGGAACAGGGCTTAGAAGGATAAAATTGCTAACTTAATAAAATGCAAACCCCAATTCTTTTTAAGATAATCAGTAACATATAAAAAAAAAATCTATCTCTATGTCATGTTTTAATTTTGTATAGTCCTGCCACATATTATTGATCTTTTGTAAAACACAAAAGACAAAACAAAAAAAAATACGTTTTTTTAAAGCATATGTTACATATTTTAAAATGTGTAGGTTTTAAATTTAGATGTTTTACAGCAAAGTTTGATTTCTCTTTAAGAGACTCAAACAATAAGATGCATATAATGAATTAAAATGTACACATAATTTCTGAGGACAGAAAACATCCCACAGTTTAAAGGAAGGACAACATTTTTTCATAGACAAATAAGACACCTGCATGGGGACAAAGTATAACGAGAAACTTATGGCTTACCTTGAGGGACTGTGGCAAACCTAGCCACTTGGACATTATTTTTGTACTGTCGCTTTAAGGGTTGCCGGGATGGGGGTCCTTGTGGGTGTTAGAACATGTACTGTAATACAATGTTAATGCTGTATCTCCTGCCTGCGCTATCTGCCGACCGCAGATAGCTAATTCCTTTCGTTTCACGAACGGCACCTTTGCGGGCCGTTCGGGAAACGAACAACATATCATTTTATAGCCCACACACTTAGAGGCGTGTGGCACCTATTAACCGATTGCAACAATGTTGCAATCGGTAATTGGAGGCTCTCCTGGGTGGCCGTCGTTCGACTACCGACCATGCGGCGGTCGGCCATCTTGGATCCTTTGTTCCCTCAGCGGTGTTAGGTCGTCGAGCGCATGGTACCAAAAACGGCTACTCGACGGCACGAACACCGCTGAGCCTCCAGGACGTTCGGGAGTTTCAGGCCGTTCGGTATTTTATTCCCTGGAAGGCAATCGGTTCTTTTAATATGTTTTGTAATGAATGTGTTTTTCGTGCGGCGTTCGGTTATTTTAGCTGGGATCTGAGCGGTAATCTCACGAATGATGCGCCCAGACCCCAGCTATCTACCGAAGATCCATTCGTTTAAATAGACTGCATATTCATGAAGTTATGTATTTTTATACGAATTGTAAGCTCTGCTGCACGGAGGGATAATCCACTTAACGGTATATTCCAGTGGGAGGATCCCTCTCGTGCAGCAGTGCCTGATGGGAAAAATGTCTTGCTTTGTAAGTTCCCCATGTAGTCCCCTCTGGGAATGTCCCTGGGAGGGGACTCAGGAAACCCCTTGCATGGGGACTTGTATAAATTGTGGAGCTGAATTAAAAGATCTCAGTTGACTCCCAGCCTATGTGTCGTCTAGTTCTTGGGAAGGAAGGGTTACTACAGTGCTGTCTGGATTATTGTATGCTGATTCCCTGGATTATCCTTTGTTGTTCCTGTTACCCAACGGAGATATCGTGGATTATACTGCCTCTCCGTTACAGGGACCTTATCTCCAACCAAGAAGTGTCAATACAAAAAATGGTGAAAATGAATACTCTCTCTATTTTTTCCAGATGGCATGTTTGTTGTGAACATTTTATTTCAATTCAATGATTATGAGAAGAAGAAATGCCGTGAGCCTACCTGTGTGCTGGTGGGCAATCTTACAGGCTTTGCGGAAACGAAAGCCATGTGGACTCAGATAATAAATTAGGTCACTGTGATAGGGAAATGTTCGGGTTCTGTGATGGGTCAGAAAGGAGAGGTCATATACAGCACGGATGTAGGTGTCATCTCTGCAAAGGTAAGATGCAGAACATAGATTAATATTTAGAGCTGGAGTAGGCAGGAAGATGTCAAGGTGATGAACATGCTTGGAGAATGTAATGAGATAAAATGAATGGGTTTGGAGGTCATTTTGTGCAACAAAGCTAATGGTACTAATGAGAGTCAAGGAAGATGTCTGTGAATAGCTCGGTTTTAAGAGTTTACAAAAATAACTGAGGTAGATGGCTCATTGTATGGAAACATGAGAAATCTTAAGATAATGGGGTGAAATAAAGATTATTAGGGATGCAAGTAGAGAGAAGGAGTCTCTCCAGGCTCTAAATAAGTTCTTGAGAAGTATGAAACACCTAAGGCATGTGGTGTCCTCAGGTCAAGATATTTTAAAATTTTCATGTGCAATATTTCTCTATATCCATTTTTTTTGATTATTTATTTTTGATTCTCAATAAAAGAAAGCATTTTATCATTGAAGTTCTGTTGGTTGTCAAATGTTCTATGTTCCCCCATGTGTTGTACAGGTTGATACACTGATCTCAGATCATTATCTATTGGAGTTTAGCCCTTAGCTGGTAAGTAGTGATGTCCGAACGGTTCGCCGAAAGGTTAATTTGCGGTAAACTTTGACCCTGTACCTCACAGTCAGCAGACACATTCCAGCCAATCAGCAGCAGACCCTCCCTCCCAGACCCTCCCACCTCCTGGACAGCTCACTAAGAATGCAGCTTCACAATGAATGTAAAAAGGATGCTGTTCAGGAGGTGGGAGGGTCTGGGAGGGAGGGTCAGCTGCTGATTGGCTGGAATGTGTCTGCTGACTGTGAGGTACAGGGTCAAAGTTTACCGCATTTGTTCGCCGTCCGCGGCAAACCATTCGGCGAACCATTTGGGACATCACTATTGGTAAGGTGAGTACACCGTATCTTTAGTTTTACTTATAAAATTATTTTAACTTACACTAGCTAACTTACCCTCCCTGTATCATAGTTTTAAAACACCTCAAACCCTAAATGTTGTCCTCTTTCCAGAACACCAATACAACCAATGGCAAATTAAAATCACATGTCCATCCTGTCAATACCATTTTCTAATTCATATCATTTCCCCATCATTGTTTTGTTTCTGACTTACTGTTATAAGAAAAGGTTGTATTAATCTCTCTATCCTCATGATAACCATTTTTCACGTTTATGTATTTGGGCTGAGTTACAGTTTCATAGACCGTTTTAACACTTTATATGTCAGAGAAGAGAATAAGGGATGTTCACATCAAGTAGATCATTTATCTTTCAAAGTACATTCAGGTAGAGGTTTCCTATAGACTATAGACAACCAGGTTTAAACACAAAACAGAGAGAAAGACCTTAGTTAGTATTAATACAGTATTTTTATTTTATTTATAGAGAATGATCACTCATCAACTTTAGTGGAAACAGTTCAGGAGGTTTTTTTTTTTTCAAGTAATGACTTTCCTTGTTTTAATATTTTTGGATAAACTTTTAAAATGATTTTTTCAAAAGATTCAAATAGAAAAATGTATACATAAAAAAAATATATATATCAAAACAATATCAAAACACTAAAATGCTTTTCAACATATTAAATCATTTAAAAGTTTATGTAAAAATATTAAATCATTGTAAAAGCTTATCCAAAATGATATGCTGATCAAGACTATAGACTATGGAGTAGATACTGATTCCAATGAAGTTAGTTTTCAGGAATTCCTTCTAAATTCTAAATCATGGATGCTAATTTACTATCTCTGGTCTATTGTAGCTAATGAACACCATGGTGTTCTTTTAACATTCTTAGAATGTTAATAATGACTATATTGCTGGACGTTTTGGATAGATGAGCGGACTCACTTGTCAGTCTGGCAGTTGCTCTTGTAGCTAAAGGCACATTTCATGATGCTGTCTAGCGCCATCAAGCTCACGTGCTGAAATAACTCCACAGACTGGCCCTTACTGCAAAGAGGCTCCCAGTTGCCCTAGAACAAAATTGCAATAATAAAGGATATAATGCACAATAATAAACTGATGGGGAAGCAGTGAGCAATATCTCAATCACAACTCCTGAATTCTATGAAGCATTGCGCACACGTTATAGAATTCGACAGCGGAAAATACATTAATTGTATATGTGGGGTATATGCCAGTGATGTCACACAGCAGAATTAATTGTAAACCAGCAAGACTTTCGTTTGTTTGCAGATGTAGTGACACGAAGTAGAGACAGAAGGTGGTACATTAGATAAGCTAACCCATTATTAATTAATACCCCTTGAATTTTACGATTCAAATTTTGAAAAGAGTTCCTTCCTTTCCATATCACTTGATCAGCCTAGAAGTGTGGATCTTTGTCATTAATTTTGATTTCAACACATATTGCAGACCTTCTGAAATATGTTACAATGTGTATTCGTCACCTACCAGCATGATATTTGTAGAATCAGAGATCAATTTGATATAAGGTTTTAATACATCATAGTGAAACCCTGATGTGAGAAGCCTGCGATGCTGGAACCAAGTCTCTCCAGACAAAACCAGCAGCCCGTTCCCTGCAACAAATAACAGATAACAATTTATATTGGTTTTTACATTGTATTTTCCGTGTTTAATGACTAGGATAATTCTTTACCAAATGCAGTTATATCTATATGTAACTAGAAAACGTTTTTCTATGACCTCATTGTAACGGAGCTGCAATAATAAAATCCGAAATCTCCACTGGTGTTCTCAGAAGCTGTAAAAGAAGTACCGTTTAGCAGATATATCCCAAACCCCCAGTAACCAGACGACACACAATTCTGGGAGTCAACTGGTTTATTCAGAGCCACACACGGCCTTTTATGCAAAAGCCCCTACAAGCTTCCCATACAAGTTAACAGGGTAATCCTTTCCATGATCCTCTGTGCCTGAGAGATAATTACCTGGAAAAAAAACATAATGAAATTATCTCTCAGGTACAGAAAAATCTACAATTTTTATGACACCCAAAACACACTGTGATAAAGTGAAGGCAGATAGGCCTTTTAACCCCAGGGGAAGTACGTGTAGTTTGTGTGTTGCACAACACAAAGCTTTATTTAGTTATGGGCCCCTGGGGTGGAGCATTTGGAGAGAAGGGTGGGCCAGTGCTCCACTCCACAGTTTAGTGGTTTTCTGGGGAGACATAGATCCAGGCCAGGGTTTTTTGGATTGTCTCCAACCCACTGCTCAGCTGCAGTTAATGAGCTATTGCAGTGGGAATAAACTCCTCCCGGCTAGGCAGGTAGGAGAGGGATTGCTGGCTTCCTCCCAGGAAGCAGGTAGGAGAGAGAGCTGTTCTCTCCAGATAGAGTCAAGGAGACTAAGCACTGGGAGTGCAGAAAGGAAGCAGTCAGGGCAAGGCTGGCTTGGAGCACTGGGAGTGCAGAAAGGAAAGCAGTCAGGGCAAGGCTGGCTTGGAGCACTGGGAGTGCAGAAAGGAAAGCAGTCAGGGCAAGGCTGGCTTGGAGCACTGGGAGTGCAGGAAAGGAACGCAACAGGCTAGCCAGCAGAGTGTTGCTAACTAATAAGGTTGGTGCCATATGTTTTGTTAGTTTAACCCTGATAGAGAGGGACATTCAAAGTTAGTTAGTGCTCAGACCGAGCTAGGTTTTTGTTTATAGGGTTTTGTGTTTCATTTATGTTTTAATTTACTGCTGTATCCTGTGTGGATTTGCAAATAAAGTGCCTGAGTATATGCAATTACAAGGACTGTGCATGTTTTTACCCTAGAGGGCCGTGCTACCTGCAAACAAGGATCACAACACATAAAACAACCATGTACACCCTCAAGTATATCCCCAGAAAGCCGGGATCGGAATGCACAACATATCCAAAAAGCGCTCAGATCCCATGAAAACAGCCAAAATGCGACCGGGGTAAAGTTTTGACCGACTGCACATGTAGTTCAATAGAATCTGGGGTAGTCTCTTTCGGGAACATGAAAATGCACAAAATACCAAATGGATGCTTTCACCCGTATGCTAATTGTGTGCCCCTCATTCGTAGGAATGATTCCACTGAACAGTGTTCTTTTCAGATGTATAGAAATGAATGCAGGCGGAGATGGAAGTTCAGCGGTGTTTGCGAGGTTGAGTGTCCAATTTTAGTTCCATGCACTCGACGACCAAACACCGCTGTCTGCATTCGCCAAAACAAGATGGCCAACACCACGTGTTCGCACATACAAACGTTGGCCACCCAGCCGACCATTTAAAACACTGAGGTGTGAACCTTTATGGAAGTGTTAACAGGGGTGATGCAGGTTAACAACCATACAGGTGGTCTGGATCTTTCGTTGGTTTGTTCGGTAGTCGAACAAAACAATGGTAATAATTAGGTGAACGCGGTTTTACCGAACAAACCAGGAAATCATAAGGGAACATAGGTGAATTCCGCCACACTCATCAATCTGGATATTTGGGCAGAGACTGACTAGAACTGGGCAAAGGTGTCAGGATGGAGGGAGCTGAGATATTCTGGATTTATTTTTTAAATCACTCAACAGATACTTCCTAAGGCAGCTACCTGTATCATTTTAACTGTTCCCATGGTATGCTCTCCCCTACCATTCCCATGAGTCCTCAGGATGTAAACTAGGGTTCTTGCAGCAAGCAGTTAACATGACTGTAGAATGTGGGCCACCATTTTCTCATAATTTCAAGCCTGTTGCTATAGGCAGTGGTTTCTGAGATGGGAACTGAGACTGTAGCTCCCCTCCTCCCCCACCAGTAGAGGCCACAGACTGTAGGACAATGCCATCTTCTGTTCCTCAGCCCCTGGTGACATAAATAAGCTGAAGGGAGGGGAGAGGAATATTTTTTTCATATCAACCATACACATATATAGAGTGCATCTAATCTAATAGACTGTGTGTCTATATGTAATTGTGACTTACCACACTCATCAATTTTGATATTTGGGCGTAGACTGACTAGAACTGGGCAAAAGTGTCAGGATGGCGGTTGCTGAGAGATTCTGGATTTATTTTTTAAATCATCCAACAGATACTTCCTAAGGCAGCTACCTGTATCATTTTAAATGTTCCCATGGTATGCTCTCCCCTACCATTCCCATGAGTCCTCAGGACGTGAACTAGGGTTCTTGCAGCAAGCAGTTAATATGACTGTAGAATGCGGGCCACCATTTTCTCATCATTTCCAGCCTGTTGCTATAGACAGTGGTTGCTGAGATGGGAATTGAGACTGTAGCTCCCCTTTTCCCCCACCAGTAGAGGCCACAGACTGTAGGACAATGCCATCTTCTGTTCCTTAGCCCTAGGTGACAGAGATAAGCTGAAGGGAGAGGAGAGGAATATTTTTTCATATCAACCATACACATATATAGAGTGCATCTAATCTAATTATTATTATTATCATTATGGTATTTATATAGCACCATCAAATTCCGCAGCGCTTTACAATGGGTGGACAAACAGACATGTAGTTTTAACCAGACAAGTTGGACACACAGGAACAGAGGGGTTGAGGGCCCTGCTCAATGAGCTTACATGCTAGAGGGAGTGGGGTAAAATGACACAAAAAGGTAAGGATAGTATTAGACTAGTGACAGTTTCAGAAGAGGAATCAGTCGGGAGCTATTAACAGTTTCATTGATACGCTTTTATGAAGAAGTGGGTTTTTAATGATTTTTTGAAGGAGTGGAGAATGGGTGAGCATCTAATGGAGGAGGGAAGCAAGTTCCACAGGAACGGTGCAGCCCTCGAGAAATCTTGAAGGCGAGCATCAGAGGTGGGAGTACGGACAGAAGATAGACGTGAGTCTTCAGCAGATCGTAAGGGCCTCTGAGTGTATAACACAACGTCACAGCAATAATACTCCCAGTAATGTGTCTGAGTTTCTAACAGAGCTCCACAGCAATAATACTCCAAGTAATGTGTCTGAGTGTATAACAGAGCTCCACAGCAATAATACTCCAAGTAATGTGTCTGAGTGTATAACAGAGCTCCACAGCAATAATACTCCCAGTACTGTGTCTGAGTGTTTAACTGAGCTCCACAGCAATAATAATCTCACTAATGTGTCTGAGTGTATAACATAGCTCCACAGCAATAATACTCCCAGTAAATGTGTCTGACTGTATAACAGAGCTCCACAGCAATAATACTCTCAGGATTGTGTCTGATTGTATAACAGAGCTCCACAGCAATATTACTCTCAGCAATGTGTCTGACTGTATAACACAACTCCACAGCAATAATACTCCCAGTAATGTGTCTGAGTGTATAACAGAGCTCCACAGCAATAATACACCCAGTAATGTGCCTGTGTATAACAGAGCTCCACAGCAATATTACTCCCAGTAATGTGTCTGAGTGTATAACAGAGCTCTACAGTAATAATAATCCCAGTAATGTGTCTTTAAACTACAATATATTTGTTAATGTAAATAAGATACATTGTTCTTGTTCTTAATTATATTTTAGTTGTTAAAAATAGTTATGAGTAAGTCACCTAAAATTTCTTGGAACAGCCCTGCCCAAGGCCATACCCCCACTCACACCCCTAAAACTGAACTGTACCTCTTTGTCTATTTGAAATGTAGGGAGAAATGTATATATATGACCTATGTATGCATGTATGTATGAGTGCGTGTGTGTGTGTTGCCATACTTACTGTATACGTATGTCTGAACTCAATAAAGTATAACTGAGGCTAGGGCAGCCAAAGCTAAATTCATCACTGCTCATCAAGATCTGCCTCATAGTGAATTTCTGCATGGAAAGCACTGTGTGCATCTCCAAAATATATGCACCCAGTAAGAGGCTGCATGAGGACTAAGGATTAGAACATTTCCCCAGTGTCTAGAAATCAGATCAAATTGTTTTTTTGTTTTTTTTTTTGTTTGGTTTTCTAGCTTTCATTTTTGGGTGAAACATAACTAAATTAATAAATAAATAAGTAAATAAATAATAATATTCACTGTAAAAATTATCAAAATAAAGAATAAGAATGTAAGATGCTCAGATGATTTCACCATTAAACTATATTAAACTTTCAAAATATATACAGTGTATGGTACTATAATATTTTGATAAAAAATATTTTAAAGCTTTATCCAAAAATATTAACTGGGCTTTAACAAAGTAAATTTAAAATCTAAAGTCAAAGTAGCTGATCCGAAAACACTGCGAACTTGGAGGACGTTTCCAGTTTTTCTATTTTGGTCTCAATTTTAAAATGAATTTTGAATTCTCACTTTAGTGATTAACATTGACATTATTAGCATAAAATTTAATGCAGAGTTTGCATTACTTTTAGGGCTATAAGATTTGGAATTGAGCATAGATTTATTCCTAACCCCTCTCCCCCTTCCCTTTTTTTTTCAATTTTTCTCTCTATTTCCCTCCTCCAATAAATATTTACATCTACCTTATTGACTATCATCCTTTCTGCCACAGTCCAGTGGTTGCTTCACAGCTGTCTAGTTACTTTTTTGGTTGCTCTTGCATCATGCCGCATGGACACCAAAATGTCCGCTTTCAATCAAACATTCCAGAAATATTGCCAAAACATGGAGTGCTTTTCCAACCAGAACCTCATGCAAATCTATGTTTTGCTGTAAGAATGTCAGCTGCTCAGAAAAAGCAGGTACATACCTATCCAAGGAACCAAGAAGTTGTAGGCAATGGGAGTTTTGGGATCTGAAAAAAGGATGAAGAATTGGTGGTTAATAAATGCCAAGAACGAAATAAAAGGACATGTTTATCTCTATGTTCTAGGAAATGGACAGGGAAATGTCCCTACTAATTTGTTCATAAGATTTAATTTAATATGGAAGTATAGGTAATGCATGGTTAGCTGGGTGTGTTATAGTTATTAGATGGATGGCTAGGTAACGATAGATCGACAGATAGATAGATAGAGATCAGGATTAACCATAAGGTGACCTTAGGAAGCTGCCTAGAGCCTAGGAGTTAGACACCGGCCCTGGATCCATAAATTTGCTTGACCCAGCATCCATCCCTATGTGAAGAATGAATGGATGTCCTAAATTGGTAACCTGCCTAGGACCCCATGAGATCTTAATTGATCGATAGATAGATAGATAAACACAGATACAGAGAGGACTATTTGATGTGAGAGAAGGGAGCATGAAAAAGTTTTTTGAGAAAATTTAGTATAGATCCACTAATCAGTCACTTTCTAAAAACTAAGTGTCCTCAAAACACAACAACATTTTAATATGAGATGTAAGATTCAATAGATGTTCATGGTATATGCCATGTTTACATTATCTACAAGATGACTGTCAAGTGGTAATTCTGAGAGTTATAACTGAAGATGGCTAAAAGGACCAGTCGTCTCCCTTGTCAAGCACCACACTTTAACATTTACAATGTATCTATCAGCTGAAAGAAACATACAGCTATGCTCTCCCACCTGATCGTCCGAGTATTGCTTTGGCATATTCTGGATGAACTATGATCAAGTTGGCAAATATTTTTCCTACCCACATCGGAAAAGCATTTGGGTATTGTTCTGCAAAGGCAACTACCCTATCCAGGTCTTTACCATCTCGCTGGAACTGGAAAAAAGGCACATAGACAGACATGATACAAACCTTGTTTTGTTTTTTTCAGCAGATATGTATTAAAATCAAGACATGTGGGGTTCACATTGCTTATTACTGTGTAAAAACATAAATTAATTTTAAAAACGTCCTCTATTGGGATGGTCAGCTGAACATTAAAGGAACCCAAAAGCAATAGCTACATGTTCTTTCTGCACATATTGAAGTACGTAGTGGTAAAATGGTAAATCTCTTAGAATGTAATTTCTGGACTCTAGTTTATTCCAATGCACTAATAACATGAACAACCAGGGGTTGAAAAATCTCACAAAGTGAATTAAAAGTAAATTTCATATTTTAGGTCAAAGTATCTGAATTGGAAAACAAAACCTTAAAACATCAAAATGGTTAGCGTGGTCGAACCATTTTGGTCTAGAGGAATCTTCTTTCTTTTCAGTCTTTCATAAAGACTGTGTTGGAATTTCATTGACTTTCCAATGCGAACAAAATATATCATAAATCAAAGTAGATACTACTTTGTCTTATGTAGAATCCTCGAGTTGACAAAACTTGACAAATGGCAGAACTACTGCCATCAAGTTTTGTCACTTCTCCCAGCCTTCGCTAGCAACAGCTGTAGGAATAAGATGATGCCTTGCTAATTGCAAAATAACATCTATGGAGGTTCCTGCAGACTTGCATTATCCTCCATAAACATCCATGTTGGACTTTCTTGCACTGACATTGCTTCCTGGTGAATGAAGTGTCAAAAGCTATAGAAAAAAGATGACCGCAACTGCAGGGGACAGCATCAGGTAAGTTACTTTCGCTGCAGTCTTGGACCACCACCCACCATGCTGCAAAGTCACCCATAGGGGGTCTTTGCAAAATATACAAAGACTTCAGAAGGTGACAGATCCACTGTAAGAAATATGAGCTCAGGAAGTGGTCATGTTGTGGATGGGAATGCTATGATGTGGAGCAGATTGAAAAATCCTGAAAAAAGGGGTATGTTAGTCCAGCATGCATGCCCACTAGGCTGACAGGTAGCCACACAGGCCAGTACCACTTGGCACTGACTATATGCAGAGCACTGCTTAAAGCCCTGAGAGCAATATGACCTATAAATCATGACCATGTCTAATGATCTATTTGTGCCCTCTGTGCTTTCTCAGGACTTGTCCATGTTTGTTTGTGGGACTGGATTCCAAAGTCTGGATTCTTCCACCAAACCTGGGACTAGGACATAAAATGTATGCTCAATGTGACCTAACCAAGATCAAGCTATTACGTTTTTGCTGTTCTCAGTAAGTATCTCCCACATAGTGTTGTTTCTTTTATTATTATTATTATTATTATTATTATTATTATTATTATTATTGTTATATGTTAATAAACATCAAATTGTTGTGAGTTAAAATAATATTGTAAAATGTGGTCCAAATTAGCAAATTTGGAAACATTTTCCAGCTGAGCTACAGTTACAGCTGTGGTACTCTAGCCTAAATTTAGTTTCCCTATGGTTCTGTCACTCCCCTCTCTCCCGATATTGTTTCCAAAAAGCCTGTACAATAAGCTTTAAATTTTACTTGAATACAGCACCAAGCAAAGTACTCCCCAATCCTTTCCACGCCCCATCCGTCATCATTCCGTGTTCCTGTTTCACTCTTTGAGGGAACCATTATATTGTTGAACTGATCTCACATGGTCAGATCGCATGCATGGATTGAACTCGCTCTGAGCTGAGGAGGGAAGGGAGTGTGGGGTAGACAAGCGGCTGGTCAAGGGAGTGATAGGTGTGTAAAATATTACATATTCTCTCTACACATTCACATTAGATATGGGTGTCTGGATTGAGAGTAAGGGACAGATGGTATCAATGTTTTCTTTATTTGGGAATTATTCTACAAGGGAACACTATAAACATTTATTTTTAATGGACAGCTGATAGACCTGCACATACAGAATGCTTGCTCCATAACCACTTCTAAAAGCAAAAGTGGTCACAGTGCTTGGAGCAACCCTTTACTTTATAAACCTTTTCTTTTTTTTTTACTCTAAACTCTTCACTCACATTTGTGGGGCAAATAACCTTTTTGAAGATAAGATTGCTAATCAAGAGGAATGTAATTCTGTAAAGATTCCTATCTGTATTGGGATCTCAAGAAATAACCAACAGATCAAATTCCTCCCAAGAAACCCATAGCATATATCCATTAAAGATTAACCATCCTGAATAGGATTACAGTATATTTAGACAGATAGCACAGGGAGATATCACATTTTCTATTGTCGTTGTTGTTATTGTTGTGGCACTAAACAATAATTTCAGGGTTTATTCACTAAACTCCAAACTGTGCGGAATTGAAAGCTGACTAAAATAGCTGATCTGGAACCATTTACCAACTTCGGCTAAAGTTACATATTGACTATTGCAGAATTAGTTTAAGGCTTTATTGTTATTATTAAGTTTCAGATTAATCCAGTTTGGAGTTTAGTAAAAAAAATATCTGCATAATATGAATTGCTGGAACTTCAAAGTGCATTCAAAGAGAAGTTGATATTTTTGGACCAAAAAAAAAAACCAAACTGGAAAAATTCTACAAGTCAGCTTTTTTTTGCCTGTTTTGGCTAAAACATTTAAATTCATTTTGAGTTCCAGACAATTCATGCAAGATAAATACAACCATGTTAGTTTAATTTTTCTTAAATTTAGATTTGATTAAAATAATTCCCCTTTCCCAGGCACATAAAGGCATATAATGCAAAACTATGCAAATTCTCTAATTTTACTGGAGATTGGACTGTGGGAAAATTTGTGGGAAGAGAACCCAGTACTTTGTTGTGTCTCAGTCTAAATTGTTTATATGTGGATCTACAGCTTCTTGCACATCAGTAACACTTCAATAATATATACTGTGACGATGAAAACAATACAGTCCTACAATATTGAGACAGTTTCTACTTAAATTGCGATCCGATATATGATACATTATAACATATTACTATTATTTCTAATAAGCTGTTTAGTAACTTTGTTACTGTAATTTGGTGACTATAGCAAACTCTTATTGTAAAGCCACTGTGCCATTGTCCCTTTAAGATAAAGATTCTCACCTGTGTGACATGTCCAAACAGCCAGTGACCCGGGGGGCCAGGAAAGCTTTGAAAAGCTGCTTCCAGTTTTCTCCATCTTTTATAAAGTGAAATGAATTTCAGCAGCAGGAGAGCCAAGGACAGCAGGAAAACTAACTGCAGGATCTGATATAAAGTCACTGAAATCCAGGGGAAACTCAAGATCTTCCACAGGCTGGAAGCCATGATCACACACTGCCTGTTTCTCTTTACTCTTTGTCATATATTGTACAATCAAGGAAACTGACAACCAATCCTGACAGCGGACACACTCACTGTATAATATACTGTGACACCATCTACTGTATATTTCTTAAAGTACATCCAAACTTTCAATAGTGTCCCTTTACTAGGTAAGTTAGAAGCAGTAAAGAAGAACAGCTTTTTAGTACAGGTATGGCTAAGCGCTAGACAATAAATGGTGAATAAATAAGGCAACAAATACTGTAGAACAGTGGAACTCCCTTTGGCCCCTATATAACAAGCATAAACACAACTAAAAAAAAAAGAAACACAGGCTGTGCTAAATGAAAATTATGAAAAAAAGTTAAATCGGATAATGTTCACACTTTTCAATATCCAGTATTCTTTCTTCCACAATAGATTAGGTTTCACTCCACCGGTACATACTAAAAAAGGAAAATAAAGACAATGGTGTAGATTCCAACAACCAAAGGGCCCACTCACATTTAGCAGAGCTTTAAATAAGCTCTGATCTTCATAGCATACAGTATACTCAGTCCTGTGATGGATACAGTTGCAAGAAAAAGTATGTGAACCCTTTGGAATGATATGGATTTCTGCACAAATTGTTCATAAAATGTGATCTGATCATCATCCAAGTCACAGCAATAGACAATCACAGTCTGCTTAAACTAATAACACACAAAGAATGAAATGTTGCCATGTTTTTATTGAACACACCATGTAAACATTCACAGTGCAGGTGGAAAAAGTATGTGAACCCCTAGACTAACGACATCTCCAAGAGCTAATGGGAGTGAGATGTCAGCCAACTGGAGTCCAATCAATGAGATGAGATTGTAGGTGTTGGTTACAGCTCCCCTGCCCTATAAAAAACACACACCAGTTCTGGGTTTGCTTTTCACAAGAAGCATTGCCTGATGTGAATAATGCCTTGCACAAAAGAGCTCTCAGAAGACCTACGATTATTGTTGACTTGCATAAAGCTGGAAAGGGTTCTAAAAGTATCTCCAAAAGCCTTGCTGTTCATCAGTCTACGGTAAGACAAATTGTCTATAAATGGAGAAAGTTCAGCACTGCTGCTACTCTCCCTAGGAGTGGCCGTCCTGTAAAGATGACTGCAAGAGCACAGCGCAGACTGCACAATGAGGTGAAGAAGAATCCTAGAGTGTCAGCTAAAGGCTTACAAAAGTCACTGGCAAATGCTAAGATCCCTGTTAGCGAATCTACAATACATAAAACACTAAACAAGAATGGATTTCTTGAGAGGAAACCACAGAGGAAGCCACTGCTGTCCAAACAAAACATTGCTGCACGTTTACAGTTTGCACAAGAGCACCTGGATGTTCCACAGCAGTACTGGCAAAATATTCTGTGGACAGATGAAACCAAGGTTGAGTTGTATGGAAGAAACACACAACACTATGTGTGGCGAAAAAAAGCTACAGCACACCAACACCAAACCCCATCCCAGGGGTCATCATGGTTTGGGGCTGCTTTGCTGCGTCAGGGCCTGGATGGATTGCTATCATCGAAGGAAAAATGAATTCCCAAGTTTATCAAGACATTTTGCAGGAGAACCTAAGGCCATCTGTCTACCAGCTGAAGCTCAACAGAAGATGGGTGTTGCAACAGGACAATGACCCAAAGCATAGAAGTAAATCAACAACAGAATGGCTTAAACAGAAGAAAATACGCCTTCTGAAGTGGTCCAGTCAGAGTCCTGACCTCAACCCAATTGAGATGCTGTGGCATGACCTCAAGAAAGCGATTGACACCAGACATCCCAAGAATATTGCTGAACTGAAACCGTTCTGTAAAGAGGAATGGTCAAGAATTACTCCTGACCATTGTGCACGTCTGATCTGCAACTACAGGAAACGTTTGGTTGAAGTTATTGCTGCCAAAGGAGGTTCAACCAGTTATTAAATCCAAGGGTTCACATACTTTTTCCACCTGCACTGTGAATGTTTACATGGTGTGTTCAATAAAAACATGGCAACATTTCATTCTTTGTGTTTTATTAGTTTAAGCAGACTGTGATTGTCTATTGTTGTGACTTAGATGATGATAAGATCACATTTTATGAACAATTTGTGCAGAAATCCATATCATTCCAAAGGGTTCACATACTTTTTCTTGCAACTGTATGTTAGTCGCTTTAATACTATTATCAGTCGCTTTAATACTATCAACAGTCGCTTTAATACTATCGACAGTCGCTTTAATATTTTCATCAGTCGCTTTAATACTATCAACAGTCGCTTTAATATTGTCAACAGTCACTTTTTCTTGCTACTGTATATGCCTTTGATAGGTGACAGAATACCATGAACAAATCAACCCACCTAAATCCCCCACTATTTTCCATCACAACCATAAGTACCAGTTGTTATCTATTGACTCTGATGTTAATCAAGATGAAATATTTTTAGAAATCATGACAATTCCCAACCAGTCCACCACATCAATACCTCTAAATAGGAAGGAAAAGAAGTCTAATGTTAGAGGAAGGAGAGGTGGAAGAGGATCACAAAATAGAAACAACAGAGATACATTTTAATCAAGAAAACTGAGAAAGAATTAGGAATTTTTCATTTATCTCAAAAAGTTTTAACTTTGACACAATGTTTTCAGTATAGGTTTTATGTTTGCTCCTATTCATTCTTTTAAACATGTCTAGGCTTTATAGATGTGAATAAATTTTTATGAAAGGCAACAGTAAAAATATTTTTTATTAGTATAAATTCTGAAAATATGAATTCCCTTCCGATATGTGAAACAAATCCTTCAATAATAACAACTAATTTAAATAAAATCCACATTTTATCATGGTTACCTGGTTATCTGGCCCCATTAAAGCATACGTGACAGTGACCAAAGCTCTAGAGAAAATGAAAATAAATAAAAATATGAACAGCATATTGTTATTTGTAAAAAAAATGTATACTGAAAAAGCCTTTAAACAATTTACTGATGCAAAAGTGAATAAAAATTATCTGAGAATCCAACTTCTAGAATTTAATATATTTTAACTCAATATCTCATTAAAGGGAGATAACTAAATATTCTTAATAAACACACGTTTACTTATTTAAATGTTTTATATCCCAAAATACCTGTCATCTACTTTCTTCCAAAAATCCATAAAAATGAGCAGTTCCCTCCAGGATGACCAATAGTATCTAGTATCAATTCTGTTATTTCAAACTTAGAGTATTTAAACATACTGCGTTCACCCTAGGTAAAACAGTTAAAGCCTAATTTAAAAGACTATGTCTCTCCTTCAAGCTCTGGAAAATATTGAATGAAAACCTAGCTATATTCTAGTCACATGCGATGTAAAATCACTGTACACCACAGTTCCTTATAATAATGGCTGTAAAGCTATAACTAGAATTTTTAAAAAAAAGATTAATTAATTAATATCTCTGCACACCAAATTTATTTTATCACCGAAAGCATTATTATAATTTTAAAAAACAACTATTTTGGTTCCTATATATTGTTTACTTAGAAAAAAAGGAAATGTTATGGGAACCAGATTTGCTCCCAACTATTCTAATCTTTTTAAGGCACTGGGAAACCACAGCGCTTTTGGGTTATCATGGTTAGGAGACAAACCTGGTCTGTTACTACCGATATATAGATGACCTCTTTTTATATTGGATGAACCTGTTAAATCTTTGAGTTAGTTTTAAAATATCTTAATTTTAGTGACAAAGGACTCATTTAAAATCATGAATATAGTAAATAATCTATTAATTTTTTAGATATAAACATTTTTATTCATGATAATACAATTAGAACTGAAACATTTTTTAAGAAAGTTTATACCAATATGATTTTCGACCAATCTAGTTGCCATTTTGACCCTTGGTTAAAGAGTATACCTAAGAGCCAATTCTTGCATCTAAGGAGACATTTCTCCTCTCTGAAAATTTGTAATTATTAAGCCTCTTTTTTTAAAAGATATGTTTTTTAAGTAAAAAGTATAATGAAAAGAATCTTAATGATGCTTTAGAAGAAGTTAGAATCTCTAACAGGAAAGATATTTTAAAATATAAGGATTTAAAGAAAGAAAGAAAGGCGGAGTCTGACCACAGAGCCGTGCAGACGCACCTGCCACGAGCACTGACCCAGCGGGCGGAATCCGGGGAAAAAGCTGCCAAGCACACAATCATCGGAAAGGTGCGCCACCCACGTCGGGGGTGCCCCGCTGAACATAAAGACACCACCCCGGTGCCTGTCGACGCCGGGAACGCTGAGTTCCAAATGCGGCCTACTGGGGCTGAAGCAGAGGGGAGACAGCAGCTCTCCTCGGCGCAAGAGCCCACCAGCGATAATACTTCAGCTAACCCCCCCTCTGGACCGGTGGGGGACATGCCGGTCCCCTCTGGATGCATGGACCAGCAAGGATCATGAGCAAATCAGCCACAATAAAATTGTGGGGCAACAGACGCACATATCCCCCATAAAAATATTTGACAGGACGTGCGCTGGCCTCAGGGCAGCACTGCAAAGTCGAGGGGCAACTCACCGCCAAGCTGATCTAATGGTGGCCTCCTGGACATGACCAACAGCGAGACACAGGTACTACCAACAAGTACCCCGAGCATCCAAGATGGCCGTCAGGCAAAATAGATACCGGAGGGCCTCGTGGTGGAAATCGGCACAGGCCTCGCGGACACACACACCCACCCGCACACAAACAACACCGGGACCTCAAACCCAGCGACACACACAAGTAAAGCACCGGACCTTAGACCCGGCTACCAGTGCAACACCAGATACCTCTTCCCAACCACTGTGGCAACACAAGCGATTGTGAAACCGCACACCAAGAAGAGACACACTGCAGCTGACCCCCGAAACGGAGATATTGGGCCATGCAACCATGATGAAGGGACTAAAAGCAACAGCCCAAGAGTCCTACCAGCGCTGGGTATAGGCTGAGGTGCCTACCACACTGCTAAGCAAGGGTGAACACAACCTGGACTGTATCCGAACACCCAACACAGCTGCATACCCAGACCAAGAGGCCTAAAACAAGCCCTGAAAAGACTATGCTCACATGTCATCACAGACTTGTGGTAACAAAGTATTAAAGCGACTGTTGATAGTATTAAAGCGACTGATGAAAATATTAAAGCGACTGTCGATAGTATTAAAGCGACTGTTGATAGTATTAAAGCGACTGATGGAAGTATTAAAGCGACTGATAATAGTATTAAAGCGACTAACATACAGTTGCAAGAAAAAGTATGTGAACCCTTTGGAATGATATGGATTTCTGCACAAATTGTTCATAAAATGTGATCTTATCATCATCTAAGTCACACCAATAGACAATCACAGTCTGCTTAAACTAATAACACACGAAGAATGAAATGTTGCCATGTTTTTATTGAACACACCATGTAAACATTCACAGTGCAGGTGGAAAAAGTATGTGAACCCATAGACTAATGACATCTCCAAGAGCTAATTGGAGTGAGATGTCAGCCAACTGGAGTCCAATCAATGAGATGAGATTGGAGGTGTTGGTTACAGCTGCCCTGCCCTATAAAAAACACACACCAGTTCTGGGTTTGCTTTTCACAAGAAGCATTGCATGATGTGAATGATGCCTCGCAAAAAAGAGCTCTCAGAAGACCTACGATTAAGAATTGTTGACTTGCATAAAGCTGTACAACAGTACTTTCTTCTGTTGAAGCCATTAACAGGTTTTATGGTGTTTTGGAAAGTTACAGGATCAAATATAGAACGTTCCATTTTCACATTGAAATTTGCCAGATTAGTTATGTTACCTTTAAGACGGTGTGGTAGCCCAGGAATGAGAATTACCCCATAAACGGCATACCATTTGAAAAAGTAGACAACCCAAGGTATTGAAAGTGGGGTATGTTTAGTCTTTTTTAGTAGCCACTTAGTCACAAACACTGGCCAAAGTTAGCATTCATATTTGTTTTGGTGTGAAAAAAGCAATAAACTAATATTTGGTCAGTGTTTGTGACTAAGTGGCTACTCAGAAAGATTGGACATACCCCACTTGCAATACCTTGGGTTGTCTACTTTTGCAAATGGTATGCCATCATGGGGGTAATTCTCATTCCTGGGCTATCATAGGCTCTCAAAGGCAACATAACCAATCCGGCAAATTTTAATGTCAAAAAAATGAAATGCAAGCCTTATATGTGACTCTCTAACTTTCCAAAACACCATAGAAACCTGTACATGGGGGGTACTGTTATTCTCGGGAGACTTTACTAAACACAAATATTAATGTTTTAAAACAGTAAAACATATTGCAACAATAATATAGTCCATAAAAGTGCTGTTTGTTTGTTAACAAATGCAACAAATGTCATTTTTACTTAAAATATCATCGTTGTAATACAATTTACCAGTTTGAAACACTAATATTTGAGTTCAGCAAAGTCTCCCGAGTAAAACAGTACCCCCTATGTACAGGTTTTATGGTGTCTTGGAGAGTTACAGGGTCAAATATAGTGCTATATTAAATTCTCTGCACTTTCTCCATGTGTTGTCAGGTATGTCAATCAAATTTTAATTAATCAAATCACATAATTATGTTAAAAGATTACTTAAATATACACATAGAATTTTTGCCTTCAGCAGTGCAACTTTTACATAATCCCATTTCTCTTGGACTCCATTTAAATTGCTCCAGTCTGATAATGACTCCTTTACACATATTCTAATTTTAGAAAAGTCTGTTTTTTTTAAAGTCTAAAACTTTTGTTTTTGTGTGGTGTGACTCAGTCACTGTTCTTATATTAACCACACTGATACCAAATCTCCATTTGTTAACACTAAATCTAGTATGGCGTCTTTACGAGTTGGCTCCTCAACGACTTGTTTTAGAGACAATCCCAGTAGGTAGTTTAGAACATGTGTGCCCCTGGCACAAGCAGCTATTTTGGTTTTCCAATTCACATCAGGAAGATTAAAGTCACCTCTGATGATAACTTCTCCCTTCATTGTCATTTTAGCTATTTCCTCAACTAGTAGATTATCCAACTCTTCTATTTGTCCTGGGGGCCTATAAATCCCACCTACACGAGTTACTGTGTGATTACCAAATTCTAACATAACCCAAACAGACTCTATGTTCGCCTCACTAACTTTTATTTGGCTAAATTTTATGCTATCCTTCACATACAGGGCCACCCCTCCCCCTTTCTTGCTTTCCCTGTCTTTTCTATATAAAGAGTACCCTGGTATTGCTATGTCCCAGTCATTTTTCCCATTATACCATGTCTCAGTAACAGCGACACTGTGTTTGTATTTAGCTGTAATTTTCCTCTTACTCATTTACTGTACCCACACATATTATATACCGTTTGTCTAGCCATTACATGTTCTTTCTAAAGATACCATTATTTTCATCATATCATATAATTTACTATAAAAACAATTATAAAATCTGATGAAAAAATGTAAAAAAAAACCAAACCTTTACAACTGCCAAGAAACACCCGTGCTAAATAGTTTATAAATTTTGTTTAGAAAAACCCAATGTTAACATGTTTTTAGCTTTTTTTTTTTGGAAAGTTCTAGGACAATAAGTACAAGTAGCACTTTGCTATTTCCAAACCATTTTTTTTTTCAAAATTAAAGAATGTTACATTGTAACACTGACATCTTTCAGCAATCCCTTCACATGTATATCTTTTTTAAAAGAAGAAAACCTAAGGTATTAAACTTAGGGCATTTTTACTCGTTTCATGCAACCATTTTACCACCAATCTATGCCAAATTTAAAAAATAATAATAATACTTAGTGATTTTTTTTTGACACACATAGCAATTTAAGAAAACATGTACTGATAACTTTAAGGGTTACTGCCAAAGAACACCCCAATATGTGCTCAGCAACATCTCCTGAGTACAGTGATACCACCCATGTATATATGTGTAGGGTTCTCTGGGGGCTTCAAGAACTTATTTGGAGGTGTGCATTCCAGTTTTCCAACTTGGAACATTCACAGCTGGTTATCATGCACTCATGTCCTATTTGGGACATTTTTGAAGCCTAGGGTATTTCAGATGGTGGTATTTTAACACTTTCCATGCACTCATTTTACCACCAGTCTATATCAAACCTTTGAATAGTAATTTTTTTGTTGTTATTTTTTATGTAATTAGTGTATACCCTGCTAGGCAGGGACAGGTCTTTCTACCTTCTTGACGTTGAAACATGTTTGAATAATAAAGTAATTAGTCTATACCCTGATAACATACTGGCTCACTAGCCAAGATGCGAAATGATCAAACTTGGTTGGTGACAGGTGAGGCTCTATCTGCGCGTTGGCGTGAGGGGATTTTGTGTCCACTGAACTTTGTGGCGGGGTGTCGGCCTCTCAGTAACTTTTAAAGCATAAGATAGAATGGGAGTGAAAAGTGAGGCCTTCTCTATGCCAACATGCGAGGCCACTAACTGAGTTGGGCCGATGAGCGTAGGACCTCCAAGTATGGGGATGAGTGTTGGCCTTGCGGGACCACTAACCTAAGACGTAGAGGCCTGTGAAATTATTAACTATTGGACTCCTGCTGCCCTGTCAGCCAGTAATGAAGCTAACTAAGGGGAGAAGGGTATGGTGGCATATAAGGGCATGTAAATTGACATACCTGCGAAAAGTAAGTCAGTCATGCGGTTTAACATAAGAAATGGATAGCAAAAAACAGGGCACAAGAGAATACTGAGAACGGGCAGCAGCTGAAATAGCTTGCCCTTCGTGGGTCCCCGCTCAGATCATGCTGGTTTTAGCTCATCTTGTGCCATTACAGAGAGAACATCTCTGAAACATATCAGACCGATTCCACCCATACGGGCAGTCCAGATCCGAAATGCCAGCAAGTTCTCTCTGCACGAGAGATACAGCAACCCCAGACGATCGTTTCAGCCTTGTTAGGCATCATCAGTGAGGCATAGCTGATATCTCTCTAAGAAATGGATAGGAACAGACTTATAGGGGTTAACAAGATGGTTGTAGGAAATGTGGTATGTGACGTTGAATTATAGATATCCTGGTATACCTACAGGATAAGTAGCGCAGTTAGTTGCAACTATTTGAAGGAGGTTGCAGTAAATAATAGATACCAAGCCCCTAAAGATGCTGTGATGTCACGTACATGTGTGAATTGTAAGGGCCGGCTCGTGGACTCAATTAAAATAATCTATAACAGCCTACCTAACTAGCGTAGGGTTGCCCTAAATCCTGAACACCCTTTAAACTGTAAATAAACATATGTGAGAAGGGGTGTGAACTTCGTGGATGATACTACCACCACAGAGATCACTCAGTGGAGCGCTAGAGATAGACAAATATCTTACCCCTATTCAAATACCATATAATTCACTTAGGGGAGTAAGCAGCATATAAAGTCTAAAACAAAAGAATACACATCATAGTGCAGTATGCTTGTGAAGTCTAAATGGAGTGGAAGAGGATGTATGCCCAACTCACATGGTAAAGAGCCTGAGGATTGGCTCAAATCACAACGGCTTGGGTATATTAAGGTAATACCAGACCTCCTCCAGAATAAGATATTTGTCTATCTCTAGCACTCCACTGAGTGATCTCTGTGGTGGTAGTATCATCCACGAAGTTCACACCCCTTCTCACATATTTGTCTCTGTAGGATTGGGATACCTGCACATGTGTTGAGCTGCTGATTTTTGTCTTTATTATCACTAAGCACCTATTTGCACAGAGCACCCCTTTTTTTCTGTAAATGAACATAGTATGAATAAATTAAAACAATTATCCTATAACCTACGACCCATTTTGAAGGAAAAACATCTATTTTAAATGGAAATTAAAGCAGTAATCCTAATGATGAATCTAATGGTATGATGAAATATGCGAGGAGTATTTATGTGGTCCCCGTAACATATTATACCAATTAGTAATTTCGTCTGAGTCCCTACGTGGCCAATAACCTGGGACCTCCTTGAGGGAAGAAAACAGATTAAAGATAAAACAGTAGTCCTGTTTAAGGAACATAAAGCGGTAATACAGGCAAGAGAGTATACAGTACTATACACTTAGGTAGCATTGACGTAAGCAGTTAGGGAAGCCACCAGCAGGTGATTTAGGATAAAGGAGTCTAACCTAAGTAAATAAATATGATTATACACCAAGTCAGAAATTGGGTAATGTACTATACTGTGATAGTGTCTCATCGCTAGTTAAGTGTCCAGACCAGTACTTCCATGCATATAGAAACAGATACAAGAAATACTATTCTTACATTAGAACTGGAATGGCAGTACCATAGGTGCAGAGAGCATGGAATATACTGTGTTGATCCCGGTGAAATGGTATGAGAATTGACCTGCAGGTGATTTAGGTTAAAGAACCGAGACTTAGTAGTATGAGTACAGGAATACACCAGGCAAGCGTTAGAGGTGTAAATGAGTGAAAACCTTCCTGCAGAAATTACATTTATTTAAGTGAACTGAGTCATGTTAATGGATAGGGACCAATACGGGAAGGATAATTCCTAGCTTGGAGAATATGCACATCATATAATCATATACATCATCCTGTCCTAATGTGTTTTATACCCCACCTCCTACAGACTGTAAGCTCATTTGAGCAGGGTCCTCTTCAACCTATTTGATTTTCTTGTAATTGTCCTATTTATAGTTAAATCCTCCCTCTCATAATATTGTAATGCGCTATGGAATCTGTTGGCGCTATATAAATGGCGATAATAATAATAATAATAAAATAAGAAAACAATGTTTCATGACATTTGAGCCTAAAACCAGGGGTGCAGTAGTATAGAATTGAGAGTGTAAGTGATTTATGAAACCAACATTTATTTACAGGATAGGCCAGAAGAGTGTTTTAGTGGCGTATATGATAGTGAACTGTATGCAGAATTACAATAGTTAATTAAATCATACATAGAGTATCACCAGATATACCAAAACATACAGGTAGTTGGATTACGTATATCCATAATATTATGATAACCAGCTATTTATTTAGAAAAGTGACATGTAATTAATGCAGCAATTAACCTTATATTCTGAATGACCGCTAGAGGTCAGTATTCCATTTATATAACCATAAAGCATTGTGCAGACTAGTTTGGATGAATTAGCAAAACCGTGCGGTTAAATATACGAATTTTTAATGAAATGCTATATCCGACCATAGAGCTTTCGTGCTGACTGTTATAGGAACGGGGAGAGTTGGTTGAAATTAAAATGGAAGCTTCCCTGAACCATACAAATTTAAAGTGAAGTCATGCGAACAGTCTGAATGGCTGTAACAAAATATCAAAATTTAAAAGCTTGCGAACAGATTTAAAATGAAATCGTTCGGGAGTTTGAAACAAACCAACAGTAACACAAAATAGTAAAACCTTGCGACTAGACTTACACAAAATCATTTGTGAGTTTGACATAAAATAGTATACGAAGAGGAAGTATGCAAAACTGTACAAGCAATGAGATAGTGTCACGTATTTATCCCCTTATTAAAATGTGATTAATGGAATTTACTGTTCAGACAGGAAAAGTTGTGCCGAGCAACATTACTATCTTGACAGGAAAAGTTGTGCTGAGCAGCAATCAAATCCACAGCAGGTTTTGTGCTGAGCAGCAATCAAATCCACACAAGGGTTTGTGCTGAGCAGTAATTATGCAAATGGGAACCTGATAACTGCCTTTGGGGTCAAAGGCCGGTTACAGCCTATCAGACCTAGAGGAGGGGTATTTAGGCCCAGTTTTCATCCTGCTCAGTGCCCTGTCGTGGTTTCCCTTGTGGTTGTCCAAGAGTGCGTTATTGATTCTGATAATTCTGGTTATTTGACTTTGGCATTGTTTTTGACTTCCCTGTTTTCTGGCATCTCTGACCCCTGGCTTTTCCTTATCGTTGTGTCTATTTCTGTTTCCCTTGACCTCGGCTATTCCTGACTATTCTTTGGTACGTTAGTCCGGCCATTCTAAGGTCCGGTATACGTTACCTATGAGTCCTCTGTGTTACACAATTCTACGTGCTGGATCATACTGAAATCCTGACTGATAGCCTTAACCGTGATGACGCCGCGGGACTGCGACTGGCGCGACGGTTAGGTCAGTATCTTATGGTTTTTGGCGTGTTTCCTGTTCCGTCCTCGGAGCTGCAGCCTGGAGGGCTGAAGAGTGGATAATTCTGTAAGCAGAGTGCCCCAGTCAGGGGAAGACAGCCAGTACAGGTAACCACACGGAGAAACAGGTAAGTTTGCAAGATAGCGACCTGCATGTGACCCGGAAGTAGTCACATGCAAATCGCTAGACCAAGAACGGTGTGGAGCAAGGTAAGGGGTGATCACATGGCCCTGGAGGGCCGAGGTAGCCGGAGCTGCTGCAGGAGGTCTGCTGGGGTCTCCGGCAATCCCCTCCGACTGTGATCGCTGCGGATCGGCGGTCCAGGTAAGTTAAGGGCTCCTATAAGGTATGTCCACGGTCCTTAGCGACCATTTTTTGTAGGATGTATAAATTTATAACGTCATTCTAAGTGTATTTTAATATTAATATATATAATTAATATTAACATACACTTTTAATAATGGTGTATGTATGTTTATGTGCATGTAAAACTACTTTTTATGTATTTTATAAACTTTTATTAACTTTTGAAACTTTTTTTTCAGGCACTAGTGGGCATGTCTGCTCAAATAAATATGAGTACGGTCTTTTTATTATTATTATTATTATCATGTTTAAATTAATGTAGACAGCACTATTTGGTTTCTGTTCCTTTTATTACATGTATTGATGATACTGAGGACTATAGAGTCATAAGATTTCCAAAGGTGGGGATTAATATCTCCATGTGCCTGGCACATTGAGCTTATGAGGAAAGCTCCTTCATTGTGACTGTAATACATATCACTTCTACACTTGTTCACTGTTCAATTGTCTTATTATTTATTTTATTTTTTGAGAAACATACCACTACATGCACCAGTTGACTACCACTATCAAGGTCACATATCCATCACTGGACTGAGTATACTGCATTCTATTAAGATCTGAACTGATCTAAAGCACTGCTAAATGTAAGTGGGCATGTTTATCATTTTATTTATATGCCCTTTGGTTGTTGGTATCTACACCATTGTCTTTTATTTTCCTTTAGAGTGAAACCCAATTTATTGTGGAAAAAAAGAATGCTAGACATTGAAATTGAAAACATTATCCAGCTGGACTTTTCTTTCATAATTTTCATTTGGCGCAACCAGTGTTTCTTTTTCCAGTTGTGTTTAAGTTTAAAGCAATGGTTATATCAAAACATAATATCTTCCCACCGATTTAAAAGGAATACTGTGAGCATTAGAACATCTATAGCTTAATGTAGTGATTTTGCTGCATGGAGCTATTTTCTCATTTGTAAACAATGCCTTTTCTACCAAAATACAGTGCCTTCTATTGTACCTACAGACACCTCTAATTGCTGTCACTAGTACAGCCAGCTTCCTAATTCAGTTCTGCACTATTCCTCCAATTTTTAATGTCCTCACTCTCGGTATGAAGACTAAGAATGCCCCCTAAAGACATGCACTTGTATAATGCATCTCTGGTGACTGGTGCAGCACAACAACTGCCCCACATGCACATCAGTCCAGCCAAATGCTTCTCTATGGAGAAGAATTGGATTGGCTGATCAGTAATGCAAGACAGCACATATTGGGATAAATAGTAAGTAAATCTTCATTATTTTACACTTCCAGATGGTCCATAAATCTAAACATGCAGAGGCAAATGCTACTGTCAGAAATACATGGTTGAATTTTTTATGTTAGAGTTTTGCTATAATTAAAATTCTGAAATATACTGTTGTGCATCATCTATACAATCCATTGTACATGTAAACGTCTACATTATGCACAGCAGCGCTGAAAGTGTTTCCACAATTCTCCCAGAATACCATGCTGAATGATATGTCTTTTTCAAATACAGCTTTATATACCAATGCACACATAAGGATTCGAATGGACCATCATCCAACTTTAGGCATACTTTTTCTAATGTTTTGAAATTTACTTATTTGTTTAGGGTGTTAATCACTTTCTGATATCACTCCCACTTTAAATCTTTAGCTATATGATGGCAGACAGATTTCTGACCATGGGCAAGAACCTTATCATGCTGATGAGTTCATTGATAAATGGAGTCTTAGGGTTTGGGCTTGATCGCATGACATTGGAGCCCCATCTACTGGGACCACAGTTAAAATAACCTGCAAGAGTCTACATGGTTCTTACAGAGGAACCTGCCAGTTATGTTTCAGTTCCCAAAACCTGCATTTTACAGATTAATTTGCCCAGGTACTGGACATTAACAGTGTGACCTAGCTGTGGATATGGGTTGGAAGAGGAGACTACAGTGCCCTCCAGGGTATCTTGGCATCCCCACTCCCTCCCCTCCCCCCTTTGGCCTAATGGAAAGTTCCCAGTCATATGAACCTAGTTGACAAGGAAGTCTATAATTCGAATGGAAGATTCTGGCCAAAATGGCTGCCAGTGTAAACAGCATGGGATGAACTAAGGCTCATCTCATGCAATCCAATATCTGGACCAGTGGTTTGAGCAGTTCCTTATCAAATTATACCAGAGGTTAACAGGCACCCATGGTGACCAACACTTCTCTTGGCCAGGTCATTATTCCAGCTGAGTACCTGCTGACTGGTAGGGTATGTGTGCTGGTAGTTTGGATCCTGCACTTGCCATTGTGCTGGGACTTCAGGATCTGTCTGAATCTCTGGAGGTACTTGGATGTTGCTATCCTCATTTCCTCTTCCTCATGATTGCCATGTGTGTGTTTGTGGTACCTCCAGGTACTTGTTACTGTTCTCTACATCTCCTATTTGGCCTTCTGGTACTTGAACTCTTCCCTCTTTTTGCATCCACCAACACTCATCTAGCCCAAACAACATTCCGATGTCCTTGCTGTATATCCCAGTTAGGTGGATCAGTGAGTTAATGTCCCACTCATTCTTGGCATACTAGCTGTTATATTCGTTTGCAGCTTTGCATATCTAACCAAAGGTTTCCAAGTTTTTCAACAATCTAAGCTATAGTTGTTCTTCTGTGGGAATGGACCAGACTTCAGTCCCCCCGTGCATCAATGAGCCTTGGTGCCCATGACCCTGATACCGGTTTACCAGTTTTCCTTACTTGCACCGCTTCTAGTATGTCCTACCCACTGCATACCAGGAACACCCCCAAGACTTGCCATTTTGGAGATGCTTTGACCCAGTTCCCAGCCATCACTATTTGGCCCTTGTCAGAGTCACGCAGAGCATTTTGCTTGTACATTTTTCCTGCTTTCAACACATAAAAATTCAAGAATTGACTGATATATCTTAACTCTTGACAGTTTCAATTGTAATGATATAATCAATTTTATTCACTTCAGCTGTCAGTGCCTATGGCTGCACAAAACCAGAATACACCACTGGTTTTAACGTTGTGCCTGATCATTGTATGACACCATCAAAGTGCAATTTATAATTCTTTTCAAAATGAATCCCCCTGTGTAATTTTTTTCCTATTTTCCTTTAAAATGTTCACATTCCACCAACACAGTGCTTGATTGAATACTTAAATTTTCTACTTTTAAATAAATTAAACAAATAAAATAAAGTCAAAATTCTCTTTTCTGATTACATATACATTTTTATTGTGCACAGCACTGTAACTATGAATTAATGTGTGTATGCTAATCTAACAATTTCTTACAAGCTCTGTCATTTAAAAAAAAGTAAATAAATTCTTAAGTATTTATTAAAATGCTAATATATATATTAGTCGCTTGTAGCATTATTATTATTATTATTACTGGTATTTATATAGCGCCAGCATATTCCGTAGCAGTTTACAATATTATCAAAGGGGAAGATTTAACAATAAATGAGACAATTATAAAAACTTACAGGAACAAAGAGGTTAAAGAGGGCCCTGCTCAAAATAGCTTACAGTCTATAGGAGGTGGGGCATGGAACCAAACAGGACAGGAGGTAGCAATCAAACAAGGTGAAGTGAAGCAGAGCTGGAGGAGAGAATAGAGTGCTGCCCTTTAGGAGAGAGCAAGGGACAGGTATGTGAGGTAGAGGTTACTCTGGGAGGCCATAAGCTTTCCTAAAGAGATGGGTTTTGAGGCACTTTTTAAATGAATGAAGACTAGAGGAGGGCTTACTAGTCGTAGGCAGACTATTTCAAAGGAAAGGAGCCACCCAAGAGAAGTCCTGCAAGGTGAGTTGGCCGTACGGGTGCGAGTAGCGGACAGGAGAAGGTCATGGGCAGAGCAGAGAGAGACCGAGAAGGGGCATACCTGCGGATCAGTGAAAAAATACAGGAGTAGCAAGAATTGGTCAGTGCTTTTTTGGTATGGGTTAGTGCCTTGAATTGACTCCTGTAAAATACAGAAAGTCAATGTAAGGACTGACAGAGGGGAGAAGTGTAAGAGAACCGATTAGAGAGGAAATCAGTCTAGCTGCAGCATTCATTAGAATGTAGTGGGGCTAAAAGGACCAGTTGTTTCTCTTTTTAAGCTTCACACTTTAACATTTGCAATGTATCTACCAGCTGAATGAAACATATAGTTATGTTCCCCTACCTGATCGGCCGAGTATTGCTTTGGCATATTCTGGATGAATTATAACCAAGTTGGCAAAAAAATTTCCTACCCACATTGGAAAAGCATTTGGATATTGTTCTGCCCAGGCAACTTCCCTATCGAGGTCTTTACCATCACGCTGAAAACAGAAAAAGCAACAAACAGATATGATATAAACCTATTTTTTCAGGAGAAATGTGTTAACATCAAGATATATGGGGTTCACATTGCTCACTCCTATGTCTAAATAGAAATAATTTTTAGAACCATTATTTTAAAACCATAAATTAATTCAAGAAGTCCTCTACTGGGATGATTAGCTGAATGGTGCTGGGCATTTAAGTAGAACCTCTGAGGATTTCCATCATCCCCTGGGCTGTTGAATACAGCAGTGAAATTGTAATTTATGGACTATAGTTTGTTCCAATGTACTAATAAAATGAAGAACCATCACAATGGCTCTGTCAGCCTCCAAATAAATTTTAGCATTTCATTGAAATTCCAATGCAGACAAAATATATATAAAAGACAAAGTAGGGACACGTTTTCGGTTGTTGTTGCTGTTGTTGCTCTAAATAATACTTTCAGGATGATTTACTGAAAATGTATTCATTAAGATTCAAACTATAGGCAAATGTCAGGCTAAAATAGCTGATCTGGAAACATTCACCAACTCAGCTCAAGTTACATATTGACTAGTGTAGCCTTAAGTTTCCGTTTACTACAATTTGGAGTTAAGTAAATATCCCTGTATAGTATGAATTGCTAAAAGAAAATTGATGCGGCCATGACAGTGCCGCTTTAAGTTAGAGTTGATTAAAATAATTCCCTTTTTTCCGGCACACAAAGGCATTTAATACAAAGCGTGTTGCACCCATTTGTTTGTGTGTGTATGAAAATGACTGTGTATAAATCGTAGGATCATGGTTTACACATAGCAGAACAGACTACTTTGTTGTGCCTCATTAGAAAGTGTTTGTATGTGTCTCTACATCAGTAGCACTTCAATAATATTTACTGGGACGATGAAACAATAAAATGCTACAATATTCTGAGTTTCTGCTTAAATTGCGATCCGATATATGATACATTATAACATATTACTATTATTTCTAATAAACTGATTAGTGACTTTTTTTACTGTAATTTTGTGACTATAACAAACTCTTATTGTAAAGCCACTGTGCCATTGTCCCTTTAAGATAACGATTCTCACCTGTGTGACATGTCCAAACAGCCAGTGACCCGGGGGGCCAGGAAAGCTTTGATAAGTTGCTTCCAGTTTTCTCCATCTTTTATAAAGAGTAATTAATTTCTGCAGCAGGAGAGCCAAGGACAGCAGGAAAACTAACTGCAGGATCTGATATAAAGTCACTGAAATCCAGGGAAAACTCAAGATCTTCCACAGGCTGGAAGCCATGATCACACACTGCCTGTTTCTCTTTACTCTTTGTCGTATATTGTACAATCAAGGAAACTGACATTGGACGCACCCACTGTAATCTAATACATTGTGACTCCACCTGCTGTGTATTTCTTAAAGAACACACAGGCTTTACAATGTGATAGATAGATCCCCATCTGTCGTGCAAATCCCATGATGCAATGCCAGTTGGAGACCTACCATTTGCCCATCCTTGCACGGTTGTATTTGTGAGCAGTGTTTGTGCGTTTAAATGTAAGCCTGTTTTTGTATAGAGTATGTGTGTGCATGTAGGGTTGTGTTTGTATATGCTGTAACCAATGGAATGCTGTGGTGTACTTGTGTGTAATGTTTGCGTTTAAATGCACATTTGTCTGTGTGTATGTAGTGTCAGCTTTTTAATGCAGGTGTGCTTTCGTGTGTTGAGTTGGTTGTATATAATTTTAGCATTTTAATACAGGGGTGAGTTTGTATGTAATGTTTGCATTTGCACACATAGATGTTTGGGTGTAGTGTTGTGTTTTTATTAATAAGAATAGGGGCATGTCACCTAAACAAATTTAAAAGTACTAGTGACTGGGCAGCTATTTCTGCCTAGTCGCTAGTGCAATAAGGGGGGACCTGGCACATGACCCTCTGTTCCCCCATGGAGGGGACCACAAATACCTAAAATGGGGGGACATAGTGCCCCCCCGCACCCCAACCCGTGACCCACGGGTCGGGGTTATTAATATAAACGGGGGACCTAATGTCCCCCCTGGTCCCCACCCATGAAAAGCAACCAATCATAGTGTTATGAGAAAAACGACACAGCATGGGAAAATTCCTAAGAACCTGTGAGAGCACTTATAATACATGCACCACTGGATACAGGTATTCAAAATCGCTATAAGACATACCACATTTTACAAGCCCATAACCCTTGATAAAGGCATTTTGCCGCAACATTGGTGGCTTATTGGTGGTGTCTTGTCCTTCTTCTAACTAGGTCTGGTATGCTTTTATGGGTTTGTAAAATGTGGTATATCTTCTAGCCATTTTGTCTACCTGTATCCAGTGATGCATGTATTATGTAGTCTGTCTATATGTAATTGCAGAACTTGTAGCTATTGCATTGTATTTTCCATTTGACATTGTGTGTCTTTTTCATTCATTGGTACAATTAATGAGATAGCCTATTACTGTGACCCATTTAATAAAAATCTTTTTCATGTACATTTGTGGTTGTGCCACTTGTTCAATGAATAACTGCATTAAAGACAGCCCTGAGTATAATGCATCAACAGTTGCCACATGTGCACATCAGTCCCCCAAATATTTTTCTGTAGAGCAGTATTGGATTGGCAGATCAATAATGAAAGACAGCTCAGCTTGGGATAAGTAGTAAGTACATCTTCATTATTTTAGGCTTAAAGGAGGGCACGAGGAGTAAATGCTAATGTTAGAAATACATGGCTGAATTTTTTATGGTAGAGTTTTGCTAATAGCAAAATTCTGAAATATACTGTTGTGCATCATCAATATAATCCAAGACACACGTTAAAAGTCTACATTATGCACTGCAGCTCTGAAAAGTTCTTTTCAGAAATCTCCCAGAATGCCATGCTGAATATGCAGATATTTATGGACATGCCTCACTTTTTCAGACCACATTTTGGCAGGCACTCATAGGAATGGAATGTCATTATACAATACAGCTTTCTTTACCAGTGCATGGATAATGATTCCAATGGGCCAATATAGACCAATATATATGGTCTAAGCATAGCTGGAGTGCAAACTTGTACTTATATTTTAGATATATAGATGATATATTTTTTATTTGACAAAGCTCTGAATTTTTTTTTAAATTTTTTAAATAACAGCTAGGGAATATCACTTACAATGGATTTTAAGATTGAAAACATATACTTTTTTAGATCTAGATATTTCCTAAAGAAAACACCATATGTACTAAAAACTATTTTTTTCAAGTTGTCTATTTGACATTTGGCTGAATGGATTACCTAAAAGTCAGTTAAGACCGAAAAGTCCACAATCTTAAAAGATCATGTAAAAAATATAGAGATAAGATAATAAATAATTACACATAATTAGAAATAGTGAAAGGAAATATCTACTCCTGTACAAACCTAACACGAAAATGGACAATACAGTACCACTTGTACTAGATTATAATAACGAGAATAGAATAATCAGAAAAATAAAAAATAAATACTAGCATATTTTGAGAGAGGATGAGACTTGTTTTTGAATTCTCAAACCTAGAATTGTTTTTAGATAAGCCCCCAATATTAAGATGGAGAACTAGATATTATACAAAAACAAAAGTACAACATGCTTCAGACCCATACATTATTTTTTTGCAAAAACTGTATAATCTGTGAAACAACCAAGCAAATAGGAAAAATAAAAAAGGTTTTTAAATCAAATGTTACCAATAAGGAGTACAACATTATTAACTTCCTCTGCTGCAGGTCCAAAAATAAAGTATTTCAAGTTTTTATTAAAATGTAATTTTAATAGTATTTTTAATATAGAATGGCCGCTTGTAGCCTTCATATTAAAAGCACTAACATGTTGATATATTGTCTTGAGTAGCGTGTTACCGGGACCATCCAACATATCCAAACGTCATTCTCATGTTGTGTAGTTGTGTACAGGTTGCCAGGGCAACCTATATTCGCTTTAGTTTTTGATGTTAGTACACCTAAAGTAATATAAATGTCTTTCAAATATTGAGATGTCCACCACCGACTGGGTACCTCCGCCAGACCAGCTTACTAGCTATCACCGGGACACCATAAGCACTTTCAGCCCCTAGCCGCAGCAGCTTGGCTGGGATCTCGCCGTCTCTTCCCACCAGTGTCCTGGATCTGGCTCCCAATGGTCAAAGCTCTTCTACATAGACTATAGCTGTATAGTAAATAATTATAGCCAGTATAGCAGTCCCCCCACACATTAGCCGAGACTTAATGCTGGGTGTAGTTCTGTTTTTATTCAGGGCCTCACATGGCATTTTTATGCAAAGTCCTCTGCAAGGGGTCTCCATCATAAACATAAAGGGTCTTTTCTTCCAAGATCCTCTGTGCCTGAGATATAATTGCATAAGGAAACCTCTTTAATTTAATTATCTATCAGGTACAGCAAACTCTAAAATAGTTCCAAACACCCCACCAACACATTTTAATATTTCGAAAGGGGTTCATTGATTGCATGTAAGGTCAGAGCTTACATCCCAAGTTTCTCTTTGAAACTGTGACCCCAACAGAGCCACTCTGCCAGGTGTGAGAAGTCACACACAAGTGGCCTGGAAGTCTGGCTTCAGCACAAACTAACTCTCCCATTTGCCATATGTCTTGATTGCCTCTTAGATAGGAAGTCCTTTGACATGTTAATGATCATTAGCTTTCAAGAAGAAAAAAGAAACCCTTGTGTTTCAATTTCATATCCAAAAGAGATATTAATACCTACCCACAGATCAATACTCAGGCCTCATTTTTATCATATTTAGAAGGGGACAGTCTTCCAATCAAGCCCAAACATGATTTGCGAACAAGGGTAGATCCCCAGCACGATGACCTGAAAACAATAAGCAGGCAAGCGATTGGGCACATGTGGGCTTGGTACTCAGTGACGGTGTTCAGTCACACACCATCCGACATATCCAGACGTCATTCTCATGTTGAGTAGTTGTGTACAGGTTGCCTAGGCAACCTATATTCGCTTCATTTAGTTTTTGATGTTTGTACACCTAAAGTAATATAAATTACATGTAACACAGTATATTGTTTAATGCACTTTGATAAAGCCAGAGAAAGTGAATGTGTTGATTTTAAAGCTACTTGATGTTCTATTTATTTTAAATAGTATCTGCATTTGGATACCACTTTTTTTTTAATCAATTTCATTATTAAAGTTAATGTTATAGTTCAGCAAAGAGATACTACTGTCAGTCCCTTCATTGAAGTCCTTCTACAGAGTCATATATAGAATGGTTGAGAGAATACCGCTAAATGCCTAATACACTTTGAGTTATACTGCTCTGAACTCTGTACATTACTTTTACAACTATTACAATATACAGCACCATTTATTTTTGCCTCGTGTTCTTTCATATTTGTTGCACAGATTGTGATGTCTCAAGGTGGAGGGACCACTATCTGCTTATGTGATCTTCCTTGTGAGTAAGGTTCTCATAGCTCTAACAAATGTGAGTGACAACCACATTCTTTAAATATATTAAAAAAACAGACACACTATTTGCTATTACCTATTTTCTATGTCTATGTAAATGAAATGCTGCGTTCTACAAGCAAGATCACTATATAAAGAAGGTTTTTAATGCAATCTAGCAGTTGTTTTTGGTAACTGAGATTTAAAGTGTGTCAAATCAACAGCCCTTGATTTGGAAAACCACCTCATGGCTACAAATACTTAATACATTAAACCATTAATAAGAAACTTACATTTTTTTCTTTATATGTTGTATTAAGGTGATTTGATGGGTGCAAAGTTTTGTATTTTTTCTATGTTTCTTCAAACAAGAACTGGTTAACTGGCCATCCAGCCTTAAAAGTGTTGCTGCCCCAAGAGTGTATTTTTAGCACTGTAGTATATATTTTTTTCTATATATGTAAGCTGTCAGACAACATTTTAAGTAGTTTCTAGAAGTTTTCACACAAAATACATTCTGTAAGTTGTATTGTCTGAAATAATGGGGTATAATATGTCATTCTGTTAAGTCTCCAATAATAAAACTTTTTTTTTTAAAAGATTGGATAGCTGGAAAAAATAGCACTTTAGCATCGTAGGCTGTCCTTTATGTATAATCTGGTAGTTAAAAATATGTATATTAAAGAGAATTTTCCCCTCCTGAGTCTCCTCACCCCTCGCAATATTAAGTTGTGATTGCTAGAGTTGATTCAAAACACACACTATTGCTGTTGGATTGACAAATATTGTAATATTTTGTACACCTTGGATTGTGTTATTTTTCTTTTCCTTTTTGGTGTCCACATAACGTTTATCATAATGTTGATGTAAGGGATAATATGTTAATGTAAAACATTTGCAATGTTGATTATAGCATATTCATAGAGTTAGATATTTAATTAAGTTATCATGTTATATGCTGTACAAATATTTATTTGTCATCCATTAAAAATATTTCATCTTCACATCTGTTGATAAACGTAGCTGCTCTCATGAAAGTGTCTTTTCCCATTGTCTTTCCATTTTCTTAAGTCTCTACCTTCTTTAGGTACAGGTGGATTCCATTGGCAGAACGTAAAACGAGCTGACGTACTTTAAGTGGTTCATTTTCAGTATCCGGACTCAGTTCAAATCTCTGTAAGATCAACGCTAAGGCCACTTTCATTTCGTTCATTGCAAAGTTCTGTCCAATACAGTTCCTATTGGGGAACACAAATATTTTAACTAGGGATTATTACAAATTACTAGACTCTAAGATCTTTAATAACCAAGACTAATGTCAGAAGTTGTTGTGCAAGGAGCTTTCCTCTCCCTGTCCTAGATTCTTGTAATCAGAAACTCAGCAATTTTGAAATATCGCTTATGCTTCAATATCATCATTTGCTGAATGAAATGTTATGCTTATAAATGTACTTATATGGTGTGTCCACACATAGTGTATAGTAAACGTGTGCAAGCCAAAAAAGATTGGGTTAGCTAAACCATTTTTTCCCAAAAATGAAATTTTGTTCGGGACTTCAGAAACTCATTCAGTTGATGGTATGCTTTGTCCAAATATCATCCATAAATAATATTTATGAAACTTTCTGACAAACCACAAAAAAAGTCTGAGGAAACGGACCAATCAGTGTACTATAAAATATATACATAATATAATATTAGCTATACATTTTGTAGTTCACTGATAGGAAAATGCTCCTGCCATTTGGTTCACAGACCAAGTGAGAAAAAGTAACCAATAGAGCTGAAAGTGGAGAACGATCAGTAAAAAAAATAAATCTGCATTTACACATGTATATATTTA